GAGACTATTTCATTTAATAAATGTTTTGTTTTGATATATAAGTTGTTCGGGTTTTTCATTGAAAAAATAAGCGACATTAATTTCTTGACAACCTAATAATTGCCTGTTAAATGATAAATTTAGGTCTGACTTATTGGATTTTGTTGTTGTTCCTTTAACACAGATCTTATCCGTGCGTTCGTTCAGACTGTTTCTGGTGAGTCAACAGTACGTTTACGGACTTACAACGCTAAAGTCCAAGGTTAGATTCCCCACGTTGAACAGAGCATAGATAGCCTATTGGGTAGTTTGCGCTAATAAAACACCACCACCACCGTTTAGCCTCAGTAAATAGGCTGTCATAAATTTTGATATGATATAAAATGATATTTTCACTAATATTTTTACGATGTCTTCCCCCCCCCCTCCACCCTCGTGGCTCGGTAGAAAGCTTGGATACTTATAACGCTAAAATTGGGGGTTTTGGTCTCTAGAGTGGATAAAGCACAGATAGCCCATTGTACAGTTTCGATCTTAAACAAATGAAACTTTCTTCCTTCTTATTAGAAACCAATTTTTTTTCTTAAGTTGCATCTTACTAATAACTTCCCTTCTCGAAATAATTATATCTATACGTGATTTGTGTTGTAACGGGTTTTGGTAATTAGTTATAATCAATTTTATCTTAACTGTACTGAGTGCTCCAATCGCAGAATACTGGAAACTAACGTTGTTCATCACTCGGTCCACAATTTCAACGTGGTACTTTATAAGGTTAAACTTAACTCTCAGTTGAATTGTTCTTTACTCAACAAAGGGATGTTCCACATTGTCTGCTTTCCACATTTTATTACTGACGGACTGATTGATTCCATGATTTTAAGGGAGGGGAGGGTCTCTTCAAGTGAGTCCTTCTCTTAGTCTCGTCAAATTCTTGCCAGTCCACTTTTCCATGTTATACATTCGTATTATTGTTTTCTCTTCACTTATCCTCACGTCAGGTGTTCGAAATCTCGTCAGTCCTTTCGGCCGTGGAGGCGTTATAATGTTAAGGTCAAACCTACTATTCGTTGGTATAATAATAGCCCAAGTGGGTGGTGTTGACTAGCTGCCTTCTTTCTAGTCTATCACCTTCAAAATTAGCATATAGCCTTATGTAGCTTTGCGTGGAATTCAACAAGAAAAAATGCATGGATATCAAATTTCTGAATATGATAGTGTAAGTACAAAACAAAAAGAATTTCACATATTTGAAAATCGGTTATTTGGTGAATATGCTAAAAATCACATACGGTAACAAAGAAGGGTTCTAGAACATTTAGATCTCCTTCCCAACATATACATCAGTATCACAACAGCTTATGACAACAGAGAGAGAGCATTTCAGTCTTGAAAATCGGTTATTTCAGCGTTTCCCAAAGTGTGGGGCGCAAATTATCTTTTGTGGGGGAGCAAGCAATTAAGCGTTTTATTTAATATATATGGCACTTTAATGTGTATCCGTGTATTATATTTCGTCACTTAACTCACTCATTTTAAACAGACAGGGGCACGAGCATAAATACCATATTTATTAAAGGGGGCGTGAATGACAAAAGTTTGGAAGACGCTCTAGAGTATTTATCCCCTTCATTGCCCTCCACAGAATTAGTGTTCATGATTCAGTTTAATATATCTTATATTGATTACATCAAGCAATATAACGAAATTCGATAAGTTTCCAACAAGTGTTGCTTGCTAGTATGATCACAGCAAGGCATTTTTTTTTACTGTTGGAACGTAAGATTCCTTCTTTTAAAATATGTATGCTCTTTTAGAAGTAAAAATTGAAAAATATTTACAATATCGGCAAAGAAGTTATCACGTTTACCTCATGTGTTAAAACAATATTAAAAAATTCAAGTTTCCCTTATTTTAGTTTCGAACACAAAAATAGCTTAATTTTACACAACAATCTGAAGTACTGTTTATACACAGTTTTATTTTCCAAATTTTGTAAACAAATTATAACTGTTTGACCTTTCTTTTTAATTTAAAGGAAAACTCCGAAGTTTATAAAATATAAAGACAGTGATGTGTATTTAAAGTTATTAAAATAGTTAGTGACCTGCCTTGACTACCCACGTATGAGGTTAAGTACGTACAATTCTAACCCAATCTAATCACTGAGAGATTAAACCTATTCGACAACACGTAATACCCAACAAACACCTCCAGTACAAAGACACTTTGACCAGAATGGTGTGATCAAAAATGATAAATCGACTGACTTATCTAGTAAGAGACGCTTTCCAAACCTGTGTATCTGAGACAAGTACTAAAACTCAACAGGTTGACGGTACCAGTACTCTAAGTGTCTATAAGCAAATTATTTGTTATTTGTTATAGATTTCGCGCAAAGCTACACAAGGGCTATCTGCGTTAGTCGTCCCTAATTTAGCAGTGAAAGACTAGAGGGAAGGCAGCTGGTCAACACTACCTACCGCCAATTCTTGGGCTACTCTTTTACCAAAGAATAGTGGGATTGACCGTCACTTTATAACGCCCCCACGGCTGAAAGGGCGAGCATGTTTGGTCTGACGGGGATTGCAAGTCGAGCACCCTAAACACCTGGCCATAAGCAAATTAACAAATTCACGCACTAAAACCTTAACACAAACACTGTTGTCTGAGATGGGCTTTTATGGATGACAGATCCATTCCCTAAATATCTTTCCCGTTTCAATTCATAGTATTATCTACACCCACCCCTACCTTACAAATATAGTGATGTCGTCCGTAATTTCCTACTCCTAATTTTACTTTTGCATAGTTTAATGAAGTTTAAAAAGTTTCCCACGAACGCACAATACTCTTAACTATATAAGTTAAGTAATGTTTGATTGGTTGAATTCAGCTCCAAGCTATTCCTACTAACGGTCTCTATCTAGAAGCGATAGACAAGAATGAATGACACTAGTCAACCTTGGGCTACTCTTTAAAAACGAAAAGTGGGATTGACTGTCACAGTTTAACGCCCCAACATGCCAGACTCCTTTAAATTCTCACGTAAAATGTTATATTTTGATTGTAAGTTTCACATAATATTCCTAAAATGGTTTGTTGGTCTTTTAGCGCACAGATACAGAATCGTTGCTATTTTCACTATTTCCACCGCGTAGAATCGAACCTCGGATTTTGGCATTGTTTGTTTGTTACGATTTCGCGCAAAGCGAGGGCTATCTGAACTAGACGTCCCTAATTTAGCAGTGGAAGACTATAGGAAAGGCAGCTATTTATCCCCACCCACCGCCAACTCTTGGGCTACTTCTTTATCTACAAATAGTGGGGTTGACCATTACATTATAACGCCCCCACGGCTGAAAGGCCGAGGATGTTTGGTGGGACAGGGATTCGAACCCGCGACCCGCAGATTGCGAGTCGATCCCCATAACTACATGGTCATGCCGGGCCCCTTTGGCATTATAAGACCTTAAACTTATCACTGACCTACTTGGTGACTTCTAAAATGTAGTGTTACAAAAATGTACAAGTTATTTTGGGGTCTAGAAGCATCTCAGTTAAATTTGCTCTTATAAATTATATATTCACGTTTCATTAGCTCAATAAGAACTTATCAACACTACTCGTTATACTTCTTACTAGTCTGATAGCAGTCTTACTCGTACCATCCATCACATAATATTCTAAGACTGTAGTTCTTTCTAGGTAGATATAGACAATTCGGCTACTTTCTCACAGTAGCTAAATAGCAGCATCACATCCATAAAATATAATTCTTATACCAAAAATTCTACAAAAAAAACGTATTTGATTTAGCCAAAAAGTAAAATTACTTTCAGCTAGAAACATTCTTCAGGAACATAATGGCTTTTCTAAATATAATTTGCTGCTAAATATTGTGATCTTAGAGTATTTGTCCTTAGTCACGGGTAAATAATATCTTTCCCTTATTCTTTGAATGTAGCCCGACACGTAATGGCCTTCAAGATATGAAACGCTCTTTCAAAACTGAGCACAAAGTTTATTCTACGGCGAGTTGTTTGTTTTGTTGTTAACCGCAAAGCTACAGATACACCACGGGCTATGTGTGCTCTACCCAGTGCGGGTATCGAAACCAGATCTTTAGCATTATAAGCCCTCGGACTTATGGTGTAAAAAAAAAAAAATTCTGAAGCATACTATTTTCTTTTACGTGATTAGAGCAATGTTTCTAATTTCTACCCCAGCAAAGTGTTATGGTGAGTCAGAATTTAGGAAAAAAAAAAAAGTTTAGCATATTGTTTGTTTTTTTACGTCTCTACCTCTGAACCCCAAGGTTTAAGGCGTACAACGCGGCTTCTAAAGAAAAAAAAGACGTGTCGGAATACAAACTGCACTTTTCCCTACACTACTAAAATTATATAATTATTTCTCCTCAAACCGAAATAAATTTTCCCAGTGAACTTTTTTTTCTAAAAAAATAAATTAATTAAAATACAGTTAAATTATATCCATCCTATCTATTGTTTGTTTGTTTTAAAACAAAGGCGACAGTGAGCTATATGTTGTGTCCACCTCAGTTTTTATCGTTGTAAGCCCATAAACTTGTACCGCTGTTCCACCAAGGGGCCATCCTATCTCTATTTTCAATCTTTCTGTATCCGTTTATTCTTATTCCGCAGTAATTGAAGCGTACAAGATTCTGAAGTAATAAAACTGTGTAAACATAAGAACAGGTAAGAATTTTTCTTGCTTCAGTAAATAATGTTATTCACAGAAAAGTAACAGTCATACTAAATCTGGATAATCTTTTTAAAAGTCACTTCATTTTTAATACTTGAATGGTACAATTATGCAAAGTTAATCACAAAAGATCCCACAATACAGAGACTACACATTTATGAGAGAAAATTACATTTATAACCTATACTCTTGACAGATAGAAATACACAGCAACCTCATCTAGAGGGAGCCAGTAGTTTATTCCTTATACAAGGTCATTATGGTATTTAGTCTCTTAAGAAACTTGGTTTTAGTACTATGTGATGAAATAATTCACTTCATTTTGTGATCATAGATGTAAAAAAACCAGCTGATAGCTAAACTTTATGAAAGTTACAAAATATACTCATAATGTGATATCACTAACTGCACCATTTGATAGGAATTAAAGGTCGTTATACTGAAACACCAAGAACGTGTGTGTATTTTAATCACATTAAGTGGAGGTGAATAATGACGTGATAAAAACAGTTAACTTTCTTATAATCTAAAGAGAAAATACACTTTATGAACAGTCACAAAATATGAAAACGATTTTTAAAGAAATCTACACAAACAATAACCAAGAAGTTGATACAACAATCAAAATTATGATCAGACCCTTTTTTTTTCTCTCTTCAAAATCTAAAATACTATACTTTTACTGGTAGGTTCATGCAGAAATACCATGATAACACCTTTTAAACTTAAGATTTGATCAAAAACTTAAAAAAACAAAACAAAAAACATTTCAATCACAAGTCATAACAACAAACTTTAAGCCTGCTAAACTTAAAGAGATCACATTACCACCTAATCAGTTACAACATTAGCTAAAAAGCGTGCAGTAATATTCATTTATTAAACAAACTTGACACGATGAAAAATAAACTATTTTACTAGTTGTTTCAGTTGAGTAGTTACGATAATACAGTTTCCATTATGATATCTGGGATGGTGAGACTGTCCTACGAGGAGAGACTAAAGTCTCTAAACTTGTTTTCTCTGGAAACGAGAAAGGTCAGAGGGGATTTGATTCAGGTGTTTACGGTTATTAAGGGTATTGATAATATGGATCCATCAAACTTTTTTGTGTTTAGCAGTGAAATTAATAGTACAAGGGGTCATAAGTTCAAGTTCTGGCAAGGTAGGAGTTGTCTGTAGTTTAAACAGTATTACTTTTCAAACATGGTGATTGGCTTTTGGAATGAGCTGCCTTCAAGGGTGGGGTAGGCAGAAAATTTAACTGAACTGAAGAAAAGATTTGATGAATATAGGAGTAGTAAGGGGTGGTTATAGTTGGGAGCTGGAAGGGACATTCTTGATGGGCTAATAAGCTCCTTTATGTCTCTTTAAAATGTTATGAATTATCAGAGCTTGCTACAAGCCCCTGATGATGATAACTGTTATCAAAATTAGTCAGTTAAAACAACTAATAGAGTTTAACTTTCTCTATGCCAGAAAAACGTTAGTTTTACTTTTAACATACAGTAGCACAGTGTGCCTGAAAATAAATTCCCATCTATTAATTTTCCAAAAGTTAAGAGTGAGAAATAATTTCATGGTCATATACTTATAGATTAGAAATATTTACTAAAATGTAATTTTTCTTTAGATATCAATTCACAATTTAAAGTACAACTCGTGTATCACAATGATCTTATTCCCAACCATACCTGTTCATGAAAACTTTAGTTGTTGTTTTTTTATACATTACATGATAATCCATTTTCCTGTTTTAAATAACATTCGTGATATTTCTAATGTTATTTTCTGACCAACATGTATTCTACATCCTTTATCAGTTTCAGGGGAGTACTACTCCTCATGATTTACAATAATATTTCCTTTACCTTAGTCCAGTTTTATATAAGAATGAAATTTACCCAAACTGACCTAACTCACGGGGAAGTGTCTTGTAAACAAAGACTTCAACACCTTCCCTGTTGTAAGATTTTGATAAGGTGATGAAGAAACCACCATCAAAATCATTCTTAATTTTAGTTTTAGAAAAAAAAATTAAATTAACATTTTCTACTGAAATAAGAAATTGACAATTTTTTTTGCACTGTGAACTTATTCCATTTCATGAAACATTCTCCTCAAGTAATGTCTATACATTGTAGGATATCACCTAAATTTAATAAATTCAAGTTTTAGAAAAAAAATGTAGATGAACAAAATGTTGATAGATGCTAACACAGTAATAAAATTATTCTGGTAGTAGGAAAAGGTTCAGTTCTAAGTGTTAGAAGACAGCAGAGAAAACTTTTATAGCTTTGATAGAAGGTTTACAAGTGGATAAGGTAATGAATACCTCTTACTATTTCACTGGTAATTCAGGGTTAAATAAAGGATTTAATACTACAACTAGGTAATATCCAACTTCCCTTTGTTACTTCAAATCAATTTCAAGGGCTTCAAACAATGGCAACATGTTACCCCACTGTGATCTCGGTCAGAAATTAGCAGTTCAAAGGAAATCACTTAGAAGAATGAATTCATGTCATGCAACAACAGGTAACTTGAAAGGAGAAATATTCCCCATCCATACTGCCATGAACCCTCTAAGTAAGCTAAATACTGATGTTAGCAGAACCTGGTTACCATCAGTAAATACAACTTCCACCATTAATAAGCATTAGCCCAGTCAGTGAAAGGTGCTCCCATTCCTAAATCCCTGAGTTCGAATCCCACAGAGTCATCAGTACTATACATCAGAAAATTGTGGTAGATTATTAACCAAAACAGTGTTTAATTAAATAAATATTTAGATTAGTTTAAAAAAAGTTATGAAACATAATAAAAATGAATAGTACTTAAAAACAATGCAAGATTAGCATAGGACAATAACTAATATTAACCATATCTGGTAATCAGTAGTTACAAATGGAGAAGCTAACAAAAATTGATTTTGTCAAAATTTCTTAATCTTGTTTTTGACCCTATACTTGACTTTATTATTAAGGTATTGGCTACTGGTAGCAAAGGGTAATTTTCCATTTCATACGTCTTAGAATCTTAATGTTAGTTACGCACATTAACTGATGGGCCAGTAACAAAATGCAAGTCAAGGGCAAATTCTAAGGGATCATTATTTAGACATTCTATTCCCTCTGCTTAGGGTTTGTACAACATATCAACAGAAAAAATGTGTGTGTAAAAGATATTAAAAAATGCAAATCAAATTTTCCATGACACTTGATATTATGGGTTAGATGGCTATGATTTGTACAAATAAAATGTAAGCATCCTCAACATTTACTAGTGTTATTACGCAACAACACTGAAGGTTTGTCTCAGCTGAACAGCTTCTACAATTCAAACCTATCTAAACTTTACCAGGTTTCTTTGCTTTATTTTTACCATAGAAACATATCACACGGAATGATTTTCAAATGTTTAGTCTCTCTATTATAATATGGTAGATAGGTAAAAATATTTGAGGAACAGAATAATAATAGGTTTATCTATTCTCTGATGATAACACTGGAGACAAAATCTGTATGACAGACTACACATAGGGTGATAATGTTTTTCTTTAACAGTGAAGGAACAAAGAAATAAAACTACATATATTGTAAGTTGAATTTTTTAAAATCCTGATTAGTTTTATTTTAAATCCTCCCTCCTTTGCAAAAAAACAAAAAACAACAGAAGTTGTAGTTAGCACATGATACAAGTGTTTGCATAAAAAATAAAATAAAAATATTTGAAAGTTGATACAATAGATATCTCAAAACGCAATGTCTCAAAAATCTGCAAAAATACTGTTGGCCTTTCTGATTTAAACATTTATTTTGTTTAAAAAAATAAACCCCTTTTTTTTTAGGACCAATATTAAAATTTCATCCAAAATTTGTGAGCCTTTCTCAGTAAAATTTGGATTTAATGTCAGCTGAAGATAACAATCAGTGCTTATAATTACTAGTTTTCATACAAAATACAAACACGAAATTATACTTGCTTGTCACACAAGATATTTTTTTCTTAGAATGTATTAGTTAACACAACAATATCATATATTTTGTAACTACCAATTTCCAAACTTCTGAAAATAAAAGAAACAGATAAGCATGGTTTATCTATTTTTTACCACCACCAAGAATAGAGAGGATAAATAAGAAGATGTACACCACATCTAAATACAACTGAAGTGCTGCAAAGATATGCTCTTCTGGGCTTATTTCATACTTCTTTCCACCAATCACCACCTGTGTGTCGTATGCCAAAAACTGAAAAAGGGGAAAACAAGTTTAGTTGGTGTTATGCAAGCTTGAAACAAACCAAAGAGGGTTTGTGTAAAAAAAAGTTTAATGAACCATTGTGCAAAGTTAAAAATTATTAATAAAAATACTACACATATGTGGACTATCTGTAGATATAAACCGTAATCTCCAATAAAAGCCTGAGGAAACACTGGAACTACATCAAAGCTGTACAAGAGTGAGCCTGCATAATTAATTCAGTTATTCATTAGAGTAACTACGGGATACAAAAAACGTAATTGAAACACAACTCCGCTATTCATGTTACTGACCAACTCATGTCTACTGCTCAAGTGTCAGATGCTAGCTAGTAACGTCAGGAAATGTTATAATTTTGTTACACTAAGTACAAAATAATGGTTTGTACAACTAACAATTGTCCATTACATTTCCTATATTTATAAATATTCTGTCAATTACTAAATAGACAATAATGACAAATGTCTACGTTTATTAGTTACATATCTGAAATCAACAGTTCAGTATCTGTCAGAAAATTAAAAAATTGACCATGCTATTTTCAAAGTCATCTAAAAAGATCCATATGCATTTTAGTAATGCAATATTTTGTTCACATACAGGCACATGATAAAATCATGTTATGTTTCATCACATTATTAGGAAAGCCAACAAAATCTATACATAATTACATAAGTACATCAAATCTGAATACATCATTTTGTATAACAACACAACAAACAATGGCAGTAGCTTATTTTTTATACAGATTTATATCTCCACATAGTTTTTAGAGCTTCAACTAATTACACATACATAACAACATGTGACACTAAAATAAAGGTGAAAAACACTGATATTTTTAAGTTTACGTTAAAACCAGTTATATATGGCAAGTGTCCAAAAACATTGATGTTCTCAACATACAAATAAGAACAGTTAAAAAAAAGTGGCCTTCAATATATACCATTAAATAAGGATATTCCTTGATGTTACACCCTCCAAATTCTATTAATTTAAATATAATTTCTTCCAAGTTTCAATTTTAAAAAACAAATATGCATTTATCTACCTTTTATATATGGAAGTCCAGTTAAATTAGTGTAACAAAATGTAACACTACCAGTTTCTTATATAAGTACAATAGTTTCACAAACTTACACAAGTTATAAAAAGGTAAATCATGCATGAGTGTTTTATTGGGGGTTGGTGGTCAGAGCCAGACTTTTCATATCAAATAACAGGTCTAGTCAATGTTCAATGATGATGAATTTTATGTTTTTAAATTTTTGTGCAAAGCCACACAATGACAGTCTGAACATAGTCAACTCTAATTTTGAACTGATAGACTAGAGTTAAAAGGCAACTAATCAACAGCATCCAATAACCACTGGGCCACGCCCAGCTTTATTACGATAAGTTATATTAATATACTACAATTGTGCAAAAAAATTCTGATTTGGATGAGAAACTTACTGCCATAAAAAGCAAAGCTCCCAGGGCAGCATACACTGTTTTCAATATCTAAAAAATAATACATATTAAAATCAATACAAAGGTTAACTATACAAACAAAAAAGCAGCAAAAAAATAATAATGTCAAATGTTTTATCACACCATAAGCATATTTTGTTTCTTACATACATCACACCATCTTAAGAAAGCCAATATTCTTTCAGTTACATTATAGAACAACAGGGGTGGTCCAAAATGAAATGGGAATACTATTAGATGGTCAAATTAATCTCTGCAACAAAAAAATTAATTCTGTTAGTATGTTTCAATTATAGTTCATTATTCTCTACTTTTTTTTTATAATTTATGCTAATTTTACAGAGAATTTTTAAGTGTTGAGGAAAAACTGATTTAAATATAGTAGAATGAGCTTCATACACTTGTGACAATTTGGAGTCTAGTTTAGTTTCAATTCTGCACAGAGCTATTCAAGGGCTATCTGTGCTAGCTATTCCTAATTTAGCAGTGATGCACTAGAGGAAAGGCAGCTAGTCAACACCACCATTGCTTGAGCTATTTTATACCAACGAATAATGGGATTCACTGTCACATTATAATGTCCCCATGTCTGAAAGGACAAGCATGTTGAGTGATGGGATTTGAACCCGCAACCTACAGATTGCAAGCCAAGCACCCTAACCACCAGGCCAGTTTAGAGCCAATTTTTTGATACTCAGTACAGATCTTCATAAGATCCTAATGGAGACCTGAACTAGCACTTCCATATAAATTATCCCAAAAATGTCGTAAAATAACTAACAAGTGATTAAAAAAAGTTGCTGTATTAGCAGAAAACCATACATTCTATTAATACTATCGTTTTTAATAAATAGCTTTAGTTGCAAAATATTTACACTAGCTTCAAGAAGTACCATTACATTTAGATAACATGTGCAACCAAATTAATTCAAGTGTATGTTAAGTTCATACAGAAGGGGTTTCTAATTAACAGATGAACTTCAAACTAACATTTTAAAGCTATCCACATAATGTATATTTAAATTAAATAAATGCTCACCCTACATTAAATATATCTGGTAATATGTTATTTAAATAAACAGATATTTCATTAACATATTAGATGCATTAATTTTGTTTTTTCCACTTCTTTAAACACATTTCTCGTTTTCTCTCTGTTCTGATCAAATGCTCTCATTTTAAATAACCTAGAAACAAACTATGCAATATGCATAAACATGAGCTTTGAGAACAAAAACTTGATTACAACACAAACTAAAGGTTATGTGCTTATTTCAACAAATTACCTAGTTTTCTGGTTCACTTGCTAATTACTTGATTTTTTTCATAACAATTAAAAGTATATGGTTGTACAAGATGTAAATGTGTACAACACATTTTGTTGTGCACAAGTTTTTAACTTAATTTCACTGCAAGATACTTAATTTTATTAACTTAACTATATAAACTGTTTTATAATTCTGTATCATTTGGAAAGTTTAAAGAGAATTTGAGCAAGTGCTCTTAAAAGCCACATGTCTGGAAGCAAAAGATAGAAAATGTAATAAACCTTACATTGTTGTAGGTGAAAATGGCCAGTATACCAAACATGAACAACACCCAACAAAGAATAAATAATACACCTCCGCAAGTGGTGAAGTCAAACTGTAACAGAGGGAAACATTGGGATTTAAGCTACAAAATAAAACTGACTATCAAAGTTAATTTCCAAGATAAAAATGTATCTGTATTTTTAATATATTGCGAATGCATCAAACTTTTTAAAAACATCATTAAAGGAAAATAGGCCAAATAATTAATTTGATCAAAGTGAATAATATTTAATACTTAGAAACAAAATTTTCTAACAGATTGTACTTACCTTTGTGTGGAAGGAGAAAATAGTTATAGCTAAGCAACAACTGGTACAAATTCCCAAGGCAATTAATACAATCTGAGTGTCATAGAGACTGAAAGAAAAAAATACTGTATGAAAAACGTGCATGTATCACAATGCTCAATACATATCGCACAATATCAGAAATGTCTTCCAGAAACAACTCAGGTTCCAAAGATTTATAATGAAATAAATATCTTTGTAAAATAGCTATATAATATATATGCAGCACACCAAGATACAACCAGAGCCAGTAAGAGTATGATGCCCATAAATATTTAGAAAAACAATTATAAAATAAGATGAAAACTGTTTAATTTTGTAATGAAACATTTGAAAAGAAATTAACAAATGATGTTTATTTTAATGATGTCATAAGTTACCTGTGGTACTGTGCATGTCAGTTTTTGTTATACATCTTAAATCACAACAAATCTGAGATCTTCTTTCACTGCCGTACTTATAGGTAAACAACTCTATCAGATTCACAAATAGTAAGTCAGCATCATGTATTACTTCATTAGTTCAATAGATTGTTTATTTATTTAAGAACAAAGGTACATAATGGTCTTTATAAGGTGTGTCCACTGCAAAAACAAACCCTGAATTTTAGCATTACAAGACCTTATGCTTATTGTTGAGTCACTGAGGGGTAGTTCATAAATTAGATACATATGACAAAACAAAACTGTGCATGACAAAATAATGGAAACTGTCATGATGCAACACAACATAGAAACATCACCACACTAGAAACAGAAAGTATTTATGGTCTTCACTGTAGCAGCAGTGTTCATTCCCTGTGGATAATATTTTTTGGTTATTTTGTTATAATGTAATGGGCTTGTACTACATAGTTTTAAAGCCACTAAAACATGCAACTTTCTAGTGGAATCCTTTGTTCTGTGACATCATATTCACTTATTTTTCAGTAGCACTAAAAATTACTCGTGCAAAATATTTGACTTACTGCTTTCAGTCACATATTTTGGATAAACCCTGTGGTTTATCTGATACTCATTGCTTTGATTTCCTGAAATGATAAGATGGGGGGGAGGACCTATTATGCAAGAGAAAGCATAGATGATCCTTTTTTAAACTTATCGTGGCTAAACAGCAATATACACAGATGGCATAACATGCAAAAATGCATTTTTTTATTTTTGCTAAGTATATTATATATTCTTCAACAGATAAAAATAATAAATACTAATAATATAAAAAGTTAATTTACCTGGAAATTGTTCCAACAAGGTAGCTCAGGGCACATGTCTTAAAAATACAAGATAATAGTTAATGTAGTAAATTTCTTATCATACACATCATTGATTACTCCTGATCCTAGACAACATCCAACATAACTAGTACTAAAAACAAAACCATTGTTTATGTTACTAATTTAAAAAATAATTTCTTAATTTTCCAACAGATCTTGAAAAATATTCAACTCTTAAAAACTTTTCAAAATCTAAGACACCATTCATCAACCCCTTGTTCTTAATTCTTTTCTAAAGGAATTAAGTAACCCAAAAACAGTATTAACACTATCCTCTTTATGTATAAAAGCCAAACTAAACACTGTTTCATTATTAACAGGCACAAGTACTTACATTTAGATCAATGAATAGCTGTTAACATTTTATCATGACATTTAAATATTGTTGTTTTTTGAATGCATCTCAATACAAAAATAAAGCATAGTAAGAGGTTTCTAATGATAGTATTTATACTGGAAAGTCTTAAGGGGTAACAAAAAAATGCAGAACTTAAGCCTTGGAGCAGTTACGACAAGTTGCCAAAGCTAAAAATTCCTATTTCAAAATTTGTTAACTTTGATGCAATCTTAGTTTTTCTAAATTTTAAAATTAGTCTCTATTAAATGATACACAAATCACGAACGTAAGCTAACAGACATAAAACATAAATGTTTTTGAAATATCTAGTTCATAAGACTAATTTTACAAAGTAAAAATTCATAAAAATTTTTCTTTAAAAAGCATAACATCTAATAATGCAGATTTTTCATCCAAACATCAAAGTAGAAAAAAAATTAGAGAATAATGTATATAAAAAAACATTAAAAAACTTCCTTTTACTAAATCAAGTTGACTAATCTTGATGAGCCTTGCCTTGGAACTTTGAGATGTTGTTCAAATTGAGTACCCATACTAGTTGGCTCAGTTTGTAGCTTATTTAAGCTTATAGTACACTTAATTATTTAAACTGTCATAAAAGAAGTTGGTGATTAGTTCACATTATTATAACATTGTCCCAAGAACTTTCTTAGCACTAACAGTAAAATTATTAAGAGAACTTAGCAAAATTTGTTTAGCAAAAAAAGTTATCAAAAAATGAAAAGGAACATACTTTGGCTTTTTCCAAAAGTTCATTTTGTTTATTAGTCTTTGTTATAAACACTAGGGCATCTTACCTGTATTAGTTATCAATACTAATCTAACAGCTCAAAAATATTTCAACCTCAAGCTACTTTAACAGGAATTCAAATTATCTATAAAAGTCTACCTAACGTATATAATTTGCTATTCAGGGTGCACGATTTATATAAAATAAAATCAAGCTAGTGTTAACAACACAGATCTTCCTGAGAAGTACTGTATCATAATGACTGTTTTTTAGTGGTCCTGGAAAATGTCAATTCAGATAACAAATGTTAACCACACAGAAAGAAACTGTTCACATATTATAGAAAATATTCTAAATGTAAACATTATAGCAAAGATATCTATGTACTGAAGTAAAGGATGTCCATAAAAGCAATACAAGACCTATAAACAACAAGAAAATAAGCATGTCACTTACAAATATGATCAAGAAAATGAAATTCACTGGCCACTTCCTCCTACATAAAGACACAAAACATTTGTTTTTAAACTTGAAAATTTCTGATTTTAACATTTCTTAAAAATGTTTGAATTCACAACTTTTTCAAGACTATGAAAATGTAATGGTTTATTTTTTTTTTTTTAAGTATATATTAAATGCATCATCAAATGAAGTTTGCACAGTACACTACATGAAAGTGTGATTATACATCACAGTATTTGAACATAAACAAGTGCACAATGTAAAGTATTTCAACAGAGATGTATCTGTACTCAACTTGTATACATTCTACAATCACATACAGTTATTATAAAATTAGATGGCCTATTCAAACATCCATAGTTCAAAAACTAATCAGTAGACAGCTATAATATTTGGTGGGTGAACTAATGAAAGGATGGGAAAGATTACTAGTGCCAAAAATAACTGTCAACAGAGGGCACTGATCACAACATTTTTACAATGTTCAGTGTGACCACCATTTATGTTCAATATTTCTGTTGGTTTCAAACAGTTGCACTTTACTTGGTGTCATAACTTTTCAAGTCTGTCAAGATAGCAAGTATCTGATGGTAAATCAAAGAGCTGAGGTGACCCCATAGCTTAAATTCAACAAGGGTGAGATCTGGAGATCGTGTGCAGAAAATGTCTGTTGAGTACTGGAATCCTAAAAGCATTTCCCACCAATATCTTGACAGGTGGATCCTCATCTTGCATGAAGACTGTTTCATTCAAAACTCTTCCCTGAAAGTGTTCAAACAACTTTTTCCAAGTTACATCAACCACCAATTCTCTTTGTTCAAAATCGTTCTTATGCTTCCCATATGCCTCATTGCTGAAGGGTCCTTTCCATTCACTACAATATCACCTTAATAATATACAACCATTGTTATCATGGTTGTAGTAATGTTTTACAGGAACAATTCTAACATTCATACAAAACTGTCCTGAGCCATTTCTAATGGCAGAATAAATCTTAACACTTGTAAATTTTTTTTTGTTATACAATCACCACTATGTAACTTTCACTACAGTGGTTGTTTGTGAGAATTACTTTCGACATGGGAATCACCTACCAAATATTATGACTTCCTGTTCATTACTTTATGAACCTTTTACATTAGCACATGACAACTTACTTTACAATAACCTGTATATTAATCATTGAAACCCAAATGTATTCATTTCTATACCTTCCAATTCAGTAAATACGAAAGCTTATGTTGTTCAAACCTTAGAAAACACCATAAAAAATATAACTCGGACACTTTATACCCACAAAAAAAATTAAAAGCAGGTACTTACCTAACACTCTTACAGCATACTAGCACTATGTATACAATAGGAAATGTTATGCTGGAATTAAAACCCATAACAAAGCATTAAACAAACATCAACTTCACATTTTATCAAGCAATATGAAAATCACTGCACAAAACCTAACTTATCATTTACCTATACCCTGTTTACATTTTGGACAAGGTTACATTTTTGTTTACATTTAAGTCTGTTGTATCAAGATTTGTAATGCAATATCAATTACTCTTAACTATAAGGAGAATCTTTTAAAATAAAACTTAGAACTAAATATGAACATATTTATATCTGCACATAATATAATAATTCAATACATGACAGTACACTAATTTCAACTCATTTACAAGTTTGTGATCAGAAACTATTCTTAATTGTATTTTAGTTTTTTAAACAGATGCTAGTAGAACGTTATCTAATTTTTTAAATTTCAATATTTATACTTCATAAGTATAAATAAAAAATGCATCATAAGTATAAATGAAAGTGATGTATCTTTGTTATCGATAATGCTTTAGAAAAAATATTACTACTATCAGAATTGAAGTGTGATACTTACTATGCTCCAATAGCAATATAATAATTTTTCTGCACAAACATCTTTACGTTTTTCCTAATAAAAGTTAAAATAGTATAAAATCCAGCAAATACAGTTTTTAATTCATAAAGCTGAGTACATTTTACATGCAATAACTATTTTGAAAACAATAATAATCTACTTAGAAACTTTTTACTTAGAGTACTGATATACACATATACGTACGAACATAAACAAGAGATGCTTTAAAACCACTTAAATGTATATTATTGTTTGTTACCAAAAAATTACCCAAATAAATTTTAAAATCATTCTTCCAAAATTAGTGGTACTGGAACACTGTACATTATATTTCATACATGAATTCAGAATAATGTAAAAATTTACATGCGAAAGACTATCACTGGTTTAAAATTATTAAACAAAGTATTTTTAATCATTTTTACGAGACTAAGTAGTATATAAAACAAACACTTACTCAAAAACAAAAAGAGCAACAATGCCCACAGTAAATGCAAGCTGGGTCATCAAAATAGCATAAACCTGAAACAAACGTGTGTCTGTGTACATATCGTAGCTTTTACATTTCACAATAAACAAAAGGAATAAAATATGACAATAATAGAAGAAATTATAACTAAAAACCGTAAAACTAAGTACTTCCTTATATCCTCAAAAACAACATGAAGTAAGAACTTACTGACATTATGTGTATTCATAAAAACCAGTTTTGTGATACAACTCTTCAAGCAATTCTGTGAAGGAATGTTTTTGCAGTTTTTGAATTATCATGTCTGGGCCAATCATAATGTAAAGACATTACTAAAAATGAAAGAGCAAAAAGTTAAAAAAGTCCAATTCCCATTAATATTTAATTATGTTTAAAGCACATAAAATAAGTGAATATATATAACAAAGAGTTGATTTGTATTTTCATAGCAATTAAATTACTAGAAATAAAGATATATACTTTGAAATCATTGGATTATAACCCAACTGAACTACTACTAATACTGTTGTAGGCTTTCTGATTTTATTACTAAATTTACTAGTAGTGTTTAGGTATAAGTAGAAAAATAACAATATAAATTTCTTGATAGTATTTTATGCTTATCCTATTGAAATAACATGCATAAATAACTTTGACTAACTGGCTGCTTATTTAGTTTTAACAGTAATCACAATATGTTTTGAATAAAAACATTACTACCCTTATCCTGGAAGTAAAACATGTTTTCATTATTTATCCATTTATTTGACTTGTAAAAGATCAATGTAGGATAACTGCATATTTGTAAAACAAACAATGGCTATCACGTGGTGGTGTTTAGTGGGAAATGTCAATGAATCTCACGAGAAAAAATTTTTTCAGCAAAAGATACGTTTTTTTTTTAAAATGTGCAAATGGCAACTTTCAGGAGAGGTCTATCATATGAAACAAGAAATAATTTGAAAATTACTTAAAAAATCACAGTAATGCAAAAGAAGACGTGAAAATTAATACCACATTAGAAAAATGCAGTGGTTGAAAAAGTTAAGATGGTTAGCACATACCATTGTTTTTTCTTTAGCTTTTACGGGCTGTCGTGTACTAATCAATAAATCAAATGTAATTAATGAGCTCATTGATTAGCAACTACCACTAATTGCCCAGGTCTACTCTGCACCACTAAAAGCTATCACCTCACATGCAACTATCATGGAATTTTCTGAACGTGTTACAAGCCTTGAACTCCTACCCCTAAACGTGCCTATGAGCATTGAACCAGCCCGTGAAGATAATAATGCCATATCCCTTCACCAATAGGAGGGCGACATGACCTTCATGCATGGTAATCCTCGTGAGCACTAATGCATGATTATATGCTCATTCTTGACAAGGCAAAGAATATACACCAGAAGTGGGGAGGGAGAAAGGCAGGTGTCTATTTGATAAACATTTTCAGTTAAGGAAAATGTTAACTTCAGAAATCTTATCCACCTCTCTGCACCACCAAGAGCTAGAATCTCACATTGAAAATGGTGGAGAGAGTAGATGTAGACCAATTACAAAGATGATGATCTTTCTAAAAAAGGGGACAGAAAGGGAAAGCCCATAATGTGTGATTTCCATGTGACTATGGATTGGTCAGTGGAGGACTACATCCTTCTCAGGCAGGAAATACTCTCACTCCAGTCTGTTGATATTTTTAATTTTTGATATATTTCATGTACATTACAGAGATTTACTATAAAGGATAGAGTAAATCCAGTGTCAATGGTAAAATGTTGTAAAGGTGGATGGAACTTTAAAGAGTATGTAATGTGGCAAGGGCTCTAAGCCATTCCTTTTTGGTGAAATACTTGGATAAGACAGATATTGTAAAGACAGGTGGATGGAGTTCTCTTGTGTTGAGGAAAATCCAATGGGAGTAAAAATGGACAATAGGTCTCCTGAAGAAGAATGGAGGTTGTGGTTACCAATTCATGTCAAGATAGGGTCAAGAAAAGCCAAACAATCATATAACAACAATAATGAGGGGATGCATATAAAACATCTACCTTGGCTAAACACTGCCTGGGAGAGAGGAACCAATGCAAACTGAGAAAGCCAATCGACCAGAATCGTGGAACGAGAAAATGATTTAGAGATAACAAGCTCAATGACAGGGTGCCAAATTTCCAACTTAATGGGGATCACAAAAAGACAGGAATAAAAGCCCTGAGTGGGGTAGGAGACAGCATCTATAGCTCCTGCTGCCAACAAAAAGGACACCACATACTGAAGATGAAAAAGAAGCAAGGGATTGGTGGGAAGAAGATGATGAGAAAGAAGAGGTGGAGTATGAAATAGAAGAGAAAGACAATGAGAAATAATATGCAGAACCTCAGGGTTACTGGAGAACAAAAAAGAGTAAAAAGTGTGAGAGGTAGGCACCAAGGATACCAGAGTCCAAAGGACTATTACAGTCATAAGTTATTACATTCTATTATGTTCTTTAACATCTTCTAACTAATGGTTAAAATGCTGCACCTATAGAATACTTATGAATTTTTATGCTGTCAGCAGAATAATTAAACAGAGTTTCTTATGAGATCTAACAATTTGGTTAGCATAATAAAATTTGTTTATGAACAAGTAAACTACAATATTGATAATCAATGAGACAAATTTTATAGCACTGCTTAAACAAGCTGGCAAGTACTTTATCAGTCCACATTTGATAAACTGTAGTTTCTGAGAATTCGTTAAAACATACGATTTTCACATATAACCCATTATCAAAGTATAACTTTGACCTACAAATGCACAACTGCACTTACTTTTCGCACAAAAGCTTTTCGAATTGACTTCTCTGAGAAATTCCAGCCAACAAGGCCCTCACCATAATCATTGTCAACAGAACCAGCAACATAAACTGGTGGATCAACTGTAGTACTATTAGTAGCAGCAGTAGCAACTTGCACTGGCTGAGTATAAGGAGGTGGTGCATCATGAGTAAGAGCTTCGGTCCCACTCGTATGTTGTGGCGGAACAAACCCTAATTAAAATGAACATTAATGTAAGTATGTAAAAAATATTTTTTTTAAGTCTCATAAACTGATCTAGAAATATTTAAAACATATATATATATATATATATGCTACATAAACATAACAAATACATAACAAGAGACTATTTGGTCTTTCAAGGCTGTCTTTGCATACCCACCTCCTTTGAAATGCAAACATTTAAGCCATCACTTTATTTTTCAAGAAATCACTGATTCACCTCCTCAAACTCCTGTAAACTATTGCTCATGGTAACTCATTGCATAAGTCAATAATATTGCTGATAAATAAAACTGGATTGTAGCCTGTTTTATTTCAAATCTTAAACTTGTGTGCAGAATATTACACAAAGAAATCAGAAGCCTTTATCATATCAGTCCTCTGGATAAACTTCTAAACTTTAATAAGATCACCTCTTAACCTTTTTTCTCAAGAGAAAATAAGTTGAGATCTCTACAAGATAACCCTCACATCCCTGAAATCATCCTCCTAGCTCTCCTCTGGGCCTCTTCCAAAAAAGTGAATATTCTTTCTTAGAAAAGGAGACCAAAGCACAATATTCCAAGTGAAGCCTACTAATTTGAATATAAAGATAATAGCTTCTTTTTTTTTACTTGTGCAGAGTTGAGTACATTATATTAAAACAATTTCAAATACATAAATCAACAAGTTACATGACAACCACAACATATAAAAATTTATGATGGAATGGCGTGTATCAGAACTACATTTTGACATTGTATGTTGTTCTGTAGTTAGTGTGCTGCCAACATAAAATTGATCACTTCTGGGAAAGGTAGGTTACAGCTAAAGCTGAGCAATTAACTTGATTAATCAATATACAGGGTGGTGCAAACAGTGTATTCGCACAGAGTGCCAACCTATACGGGGCATAAGTTTCCATCTTCAAAGGCAAAGATAAGACTTTTTGAGGAGAGGCACAGAACTTATATCTCACCATCAATGATCGGTTAGGCCCTGTCAATATAATTGGTTACCTATAAGCATTAATTACATTGGCTGGTGCCACATAAAATAATGACAATATTCGAATTACATGGACAGTTGAAATAATGGAAGATACTAATGATAATTAGAAACTGTATAAATCTGAATTAATTGAAAATAATAATTAGAAACTCATAATTTCAATTAGTTGATTATTTTCTTGAGTTGTGACAATAATTGATTAAGCTGAGTAAATTTTAATTAATTGAAAATAATGAATTAGAAATCATATTGGTAATATTTCAATCACTTGGTTACTGGATAATTGGAATAATGATCAGAAACACAAATTTCTGTTAGTTATTTATTTTCATGAAATCAGTAAATTTAATTGTAATTGTGATTAACCCATTATGATTTCTCATTATTATTTTTTCAATCAATTCAAGTTTATACAGCTTCAGGATGGCATGGCCCAGTGATTAGGAGGGGTTGCCTTGTGATTCAAAGGTCTCGGGTTCAATTCCCATTGCCACAAAACATTGTTGACCTTTCAATCACTGAAACATCATATATTTTTTTCTTTATTTTTTAATAATAACAAAGCTACTAAGGATATCTACCACGGTCCCTAATTTTAAACTACTTACCAGAGAGAAGGCAATCAGTTGGCAGTAACCACCACCAACTCTTGAGCTAATATGTTACTAACAAATAGTGGAATTGACTCTAAAATTATAATGCTATTATTTCTGAAAGAGCAAACACATTTGGTAGTCTTAGTAGCTTTTTTCTTATTTTCTACTGTTAGCCTTACTCTAATATATTAACCATTAGGTCTATCACTTCTACGGTACTTAACTTCACACCAAACTTTTCCTTGGCCTGAAAATTTACCTTTTCTGCTGTTATCTGTCTGCTACTTCCGCTCATCTCACACTATTTATATCTTTATCACATAATTAATCATCTGCCCACCTTCTATATTCGCGATGTCGATATATTGCACGACATTCGATAGTCTCAACATCAATTAATTATTAACAAAACTTCCTACAATTGTCTGCTTTTAACTCTTATTATAATAAAAACTAAACAATAATAAAATATTCACTCACAAAAATAAATTAATCAATAATATCTAAACTAAACAGTTTTATACCATGACACCATTAATACAGCATCAACCTTATTGACCAGTTGTCAACTAAAAACATGGAAAATAACTAAAATTATTGCTAAAATTATTGAACTGCAATTTTTGATTGTGTGTGTGTCATATTCTGGCAAAGGAAGAAATCAATAAAATGAGTGGTAGATTTCCTTCAATAGAGACAAACAAAAGTATATGCCATTATGTATATATGGGCTTTTTTCACACTGCAATGTTTAGGCCAATCATAACTCAATAACCTTGTCTACAAAAACAATTAACTTTCAGCCAAATAACTAAATTATAACATATTACGCTGGGGAAAAGAATTTATTATTAAGACATTACTTTGCTTATATTAACTGACAAATTCTACTAGTTTATGATAACAGCTGGATAATCTAGACCAGTATTTTCCAAATTAATACATTGCAGCATGTTTCTAGGAGTGTCATGAGCATTTCACCAAATGAAATATAATCAAGAACAAAAAAACATTGCATATGACAGCAGGGTTGTTGCACAAATCAAGGTAAGTAGATTAAGATGTCATCAGTGAAAAAAGTTTGAAAACCACTGATACAGACTTACATAAACCAAAGGTGTCAGTTGCTTATAGCATTAGCTAAATTTAGCCCTAAATCTAACTACTGTGAATTTGAATGATAACTATTGACTAGCACACACCTGAGAAGTACATATTAGCTGTTGGTACAACAAAAATTCAGGGGCATGTATCCCAAAAATGTGTTGAATACATTTAGCAAACGCATTACGGGCAACAACCTGTGTGTGTGTGTGTGTGTGTGTATATTTTTAAAACACAAACAGAAATAAATCTTTTAAACATACCAGACTGTTGAGAATACTGAGGTGAATAAGGAGTGCTGTAATTGGCACTTTGGACACCATAGTTGGATGAATAGTTAAAACCTGGTTGAGGAGGTTGAAGTTCTTGATCATAATGTGGTGCACTTTTTTCAGTCTGCATATTTTCCAGTTAAATCAGAACACGCTTCAAAAAACCCTAGAAATACTAAAGAAAAAATATCATGTATAATATTGTACTTTTAACAGTTAATTTAAACAATAGCTGCTATAAACATATACACAAACTCCTGTAGGGAGTGCAATTAATCTAAAAATGTTTAAGAGAAGGCTTGGTAAATATTTGAATGATAAGTACTGACTTAGTATGTTTAATTTTATGGTTTAGTGAATGGGATGGCCTAGATGGACTAACAAGTCCCCTGTTGTCCTAAAATTATATTATACAAACACATACCTACTTCAGATGTTTCATAATAAAAGTCTCTATTGTATCATTAATTAGGTTGAAATATTCAGCTCTCAAATATGTATTTCCATTGCATTATTCATAGTCCTATGAAAATTTTCTACATTCCTGTAGAAAATTGCAATGACTTAGGTCTGTCTGTCTTCATGTGTAAAAATTCAACGACCAGGTTTATTGATTTTTTAAATCCAACTTGTGGAGAGAATGAGCATAAATAACCATGATGATAAAATCTAATAACACATTATCTATAAATATATCACAATTTTAAGGTCTAACAACTTTCCACTTTAAGAAATTCATTTTGATACATGTATTTGTAGGTATAATGGAAATTTGCATATATTTTGTATGTTGCAAAAACAAAGTATAACAAAAATAAGAATTATACCCATAATGTTTGAGAGTCAAATAAACCATATATACAGACACACACACACACATATATATATATATATATATATATATATATATATATATATATATAT